TTGTATAAGCCCCGTCACTTTTTTTTTTTTTTTTTGGTGAAAGTATACGTAGCCAAAGGTACACACTTTCAACAATTTCTGCATGTACAATTTGGTGATGTTGGTTACATTATTCAAGTTGTACCACCATTCTTGCTATCATTTCCCACATTATCTCACTACCATTTTCTCAAACTCACTTCTGCCTGAGCTTCCCATTACCTGGCTACCATTACTGACTGTTTTCATCAAAGATTCTATAGAAGAATTCTGATCAAAAGGGGGAAAAGTGTAGAATAGAATTTAAAATTTTCAATGGAATCCAGATTTTCTGGCACCATTAAGGCTGAATGAACTCCCAAAACTATTGCCCTGAGATAATCTTTAAATCTTGAATCAAATCTATCCCCTGATGTCTTCTTTGAACCAAAAATAGCATATTTTAATTAGTAAAATCTGCTTTGAGCATCGTGCTCTTTTAAAGAATTATCTATGTACAGGGCCTTTTAATGGGATGCTGCTGGAGGGCTTTAAGGAGGCAAGTAACGTGGTTTAAGTTTTTAAATGATCATTTTGACTGCTGACGGGAGAATGGATTGAAGAGGGGTATATTAGTCCATTCTTAGGGTTACCAACAGAATCCACTCTGGCTAGTTTAAGCAGAAAAGAGATTTATTTATTAGAGGCTATTAGGTAGCTCACAAAATTATGGAAAGGGATGGAGAACCGGAACTTGAAATTAAGCTTCCAAGAGCAGCCCCCCAAAACAATGCCTCTGAACAAGCCTGATGTTAAAATCCCTGCTACTGCTGTCGGGTACCAAATGCCAGCATCTGAACCTTGCAATCTTTGGGCAACTACTGCTACTGTTGTGACCACACAAAGCTGGGAGCCCCTGCTACCACCCACGCCAGTGAAAATGGACCCTCCATGCCCACTGTTCGGGGCAGAGCCTATGTGTGTATTCTGGAGCACAGCCTGCAAGGGAATCTGGGACTTTGTGTCCTGACTTGTAAATCATGGAGAAGGTGGGATGCACATGAAAGAATTCTTTATTCCAAGAAAACGGGCAGCCAAGAATATGCAGCAGTCCATGTCAATGGGAAGAGAAGGTGCGTGGGACCAGCTGGGAAGCTGTTGCCATTATCCAGGCAAGAGCTGTTGGAGTGTGGACTTGAGTGATGTTCTGGAAATAGAACATTAGAAGGATCAAAATGTAATTGGAGGTAGAATCCATAGGAGTTGTTAATGGCTTGGATTTGGAGGGAGAGAAGAATTAAGGATGACTGCCAAGTTGCTGGCTTCTAGTCTATAGGTATTTTGCCCATATTTTTCTAAGAAAAAATAAAGATGTTTCATCCAGCAACAGGATGGACTTTTGAAATGAAACAAATCTTCAGAAATTGAGGACATACAAGATCTATCTACACCTGTTTCTTACTAGCTTATCAATTATCCAGCACATTCTTTTGCATGTACTTTCCATATATGTCTTAATTACTCTCAGATATGCAGAGAATGCATAACTGAAAGGAACTGATAAACTTGAGCCATCATTTTAGCTCCTTGATTTCCCATCTTCTCTCCATCCTTCTCTCTACACTGGCTTGCAGACTGTTTTGGGTTTTGGCTCCTCTTGGACAGAAGTGCTGAGAGGCAGGAAGTAGAACTCACAGACCAGCCCGTGGTACATTTTACCACTTGCCATTGAGTTAACTCCAACTCATGGTGACCTCATGTGGGTCAGTGTAGAACTGTGCTCCATAGAGTTTTCAATGGCTGTGACCTTTTGGAAGCAGATTGCCAGGACTTTCTTCTGAAGTGCCTCTGGGTAGACTTGAACCTCTACCCTTTCAGTTAGCAGCAAATGACCAGGGACTCCAAGGTACATTTTAAGTCCTTTGTATCTTGCAGAGTTCCCGGGTGGTGCAAATGGTTTGCACTCGTCTATTAATTGAAAAGTTGGCAGTTTGAACCCACCCAGTGGCGTCGTAAGAGAAAGCCCTGATGATCTGCTTCCATAAAGATTATAGTCAAGAAAACCCTATGAAGCTTAGTTCTACTCTGTAACACATGGAGTCACCATGAGTTGGAATCGACTTGACGGCAATAGGTTTGGTTTGGTTTTTATCTTGCAAACCTTAGTGAGGTAGGTAGGTGGATTCAGTGATGGAGATGCAAAGCCATCATTTTGAACACTTCTGGATCTGCCTTTGGCTCGTATAGAAACTCGTTCCAAAAAAATAACTCGATTCTACCAACCATGGGGTATTTGAAGTCTGCTGTTTGAGGCAGGCAAGAGTGAGAAGACCAGTTAGAAGCAGAAAAGGGGCAAGAAGCCCTTAGACCCTGTAAATTTTGTCTTAGTGAATTCCTCTCCCAGGGTATCTGCATTTTTTAAAAGGCCAAGGAGGGGTCAGTGTTATCCCAGAGTAATGGGGCTCCATGGTAGTTCTAGAAATACCCTTCCCATGGTCCCTTAATTTGAACCCTGGGGGGTCCCATCCCCTGTCCTCTACTACAACCATCAGTGTTGGCCTTGTTTGGGTGTCGGCTTCTCACTGTTTCCCACAAATGCTGTGGTGTTCATGACGTGTCAACTTGACTGGGCTCAACATCATTTCCCAGAATTTCCTGCCCTGTGCATTTCTGGTGGAAGGGACACAAGAGAAATTCTTCAGGTGATTTGGAGGGCAGAAGGGAAGCATCAGCCTTTCTGTAGCTTGCACACATGGTTGCTTATGTGCTGGCTCACCTCACTGGCTCAAGGCAGGGGCCAGGCCCCTTCCCCTGGGTGTCTCCCTTTAGCATCTCTAACTCCTGGGCCAAGTGTGTATGTTTAGGTCCATGACAGAGGGCCTTGCCTTGTGCAGGACACCCACTCCACCAAGATCAGAGGCAACAAGAGCCAACACTGACTTCAGTTCATCTCATGGGGTTCCAGCTCATGGTTTTGGGTTCCACCTTGCTCTTATCTCCTCACCTTCCAGCCCCCTTCCCTTCCCAACTGCCTGCACTGGGAACTTCAAGCTCCAGCATCCAAGGGCAAAGACAACCAGCCTTAAAAAAAACAGCAACAACTGCTCAACCAGCTCCACAATTGCACAAATCCCTATAACACACACATTTGTATATGTGTGTAGGTATGCAGAGTGGCCCTGCTTCTCTGATTGAACCCTGGCTGGTACGCACACCATGTTCAGTATCACCTCCCTGCCTCCTCCACCCAGTGCATTCTTCACTCTCTACCCGAGCCCCCCTAATCCAGTCATTTATTACTTGCCTGCCATTTTAGAGTCACCTGGGTGTCAGAAAATGAATGATGCCATCACTTCCATAAACATTGAATGATTGGGTATTGCAGGGGTGCTACAAGGGAAGGAAAGACCTCTGGCAAACCTGGGCAGCCTTGAAGGAAATCTAGCGTTGATCTGGCTTTGAAAGCAAGATTGGGATTTCCTCGGGCTAGAAAGTGAGAGAAAGCTTGGCAGGAACCTTTCCTTTCTGAAAATTTTTCTGAAGTTTACTGTCCAGACCTTACCACCCTGAGCTTGTGTATGTTCTTCCTCCTTGTTTGAGTTTCCCATGCTTTCCCCACTAGATTTTCGTAGTAATAACAGCTACCACTTACAAAGAGCCCATTCTGTGTCAGACGCTTGCCATATATTATCTCTAATGCTTACAGTCCACAAGTTGGTATTGTTATTTCCATTTTACAGATGGGGAAACTAAGGCTTATAAAGTCTCACGCTGTGGGCATAAGGCTGTACAAATGAGTAAGTGGCAGAGGTGGGATTTGAACACATGTCACTCTGGCTCGGAAGTCCATGCTGTGCCGCACAGGTAAACCTGTGTCCATGAAATACTGCCCAGTCCTGCACCATCCCCAAACTGAAAAAAACCCAAACCTGTTGCTGTCAATTCTGACTCATAGTGACCCTACAGGACAGAGCAGAACTGCCCCGTAGGGTTTCCAAGAAGCGTCTGGTGAATTTGAACTGCCAACCTTTTGGTTAGCAGCCCAGCTCTTAATCATTATGCCACCACGGCTCCAGGCACCATTCCCATGATCTGCTATTTTAGAGCCACCTGGGTGTCAGATGGTTGCAGATTAGACAGTTGTGATCCATAGGGTTTTCATTGGTGGATTTTCGGAAGTCATCACCAGGCCTTTCTTCCTAGTCCATCTTAGTCTAAAAACTCCGCTGAAACCTGTTCAGCATTGTAGCAACATGCAAACCTCCACTAACAGACAGGTGGTGGCTGTGCATGAAGTGCGTTGGCTGGGAATTGAACCCAGGTCTCCCACATGGAAGGTGAGAATTCTGCCACTAAACCACCACTTCACCATCCACAATGCCTTCTCCTATCTCCTTACCTGGCTCCTTTTCTCACAAGTAACAGGGAGGCAGAGAGAAGGAAAAATGTTTCCCTTGCCTGTCCCTGCTTCAGGCAGATTACTGAGTATTTTTAGCAGCTTAGTGAAGTCCCCGAGTAAAACGGGCACAGGTTTTGAACTTGCCTTGTCAGCCCTGCCTCCCCAGTCCCTGGCGAAATGTTTACGGCCGACTCCCAGCAGCTCTGCTGATGCAGCTGGTAATGTTTATAACCATAATCAAGCACTCCGAGAGCCCCAGCACTGATTTCTGGCCCATCTCTCTCCTGTAACAGAAGATTTTTCAATCAAGGAGGTTTTCCTCATGCACAACATTAGTTTTAAAATAGCTCTAGCCCAGCTCTGAGGAGAGCAAGAGGCCTTGGCCACAGAGATTTATATTGGAAGTCGCAGAAGTATGTTTATTTTACCTTCCTCTTTTTCTCTCTTTGAGGAATTTTAATACATCGTGGAGAAATATTTCTAATATGTC